TGTGTGTTCCTAAATTCTTGTTGTGTGTCGTAGCAAATAAACGGTTTTTCTTTCTTTCTTTCTTATTTACGACCCTAATGTTACCTATATTTACAATTAATAAATGACGACTCATGCTGATAAGCAGCATTCTGCGACCTGGGACGCGGTAACTGTCGTGCTGCTACTCATAAATATGAGCCTGAAATCAGTAGAAAATCCTAAATTAATATTCACGTAATCAAAACTAAATATAGCCTAGAGACGTATTAACAACTCTATATAAGTAAAAACTGTATCAAAAGCCCAGCAAAGCCTACTCTCATGCAGTATTCACACTCGACGGCTACTGCGACTAATTCGCTGAAAAATGGACACATTTTCACCTGAATATATCTAAATATAGATTTTTTCAGCTGAAAACTAAATAAAGTAAGAAATAGGCGAAAGGGTAAAGGTAAAGCCTGGTAGATTTTGTTTCTAGTATTTGAAGTATGAAAAAGGAAAAAATGTTAAATTGTATTGTTAGTAAGTAGAAAAATTGTGATACATAACATAACATTTTATCCCCGAAGGGGTAGGCAGAGGTGCACATCATGCCACTGAACGTATACACTGTGACACCCAGTTTTCACAATTTTTTTTACTAAAATTTGTGATATCAAAATATAATTAGAGAAGTCAATATTTGTTTTATAGTTTTCTCTGTTTGAAGCCTGTTTCTGATTCGATCATATGATGATTCGAAAGATTAAATCTTAAAATTCTTAGTAGGTACACATTAAGTAATTATTTAGTAGTAGTAAATCCTACTTTCCTAATTCCTACTAATATGATAAATGCCTAAGTTTGTGGTTTGGAATAACACGTATGTGTTGTACAATCAACCCTTGTTCCAAATATCATCTTGATCCCTTCAACCTTCGAAGTGTGGGAGAGCCACAGTGAGTGCTTCGGCACGAATGGGCCGGCTCGACCCGAGTGATACCACGGCCTCACAGTAAATAGACGTGAAACAACGCTTCCGTTGTGTTTCGTCGTGTGAGTTAGGTTACCGGAGGCCCAATTACCCCCTTCCCCAGTCTTCCCAATCCCCGAATCCCCCACAATCCTCAAACTCCTAATTCAAACTCAAAAGACCGGTAACGCACTTGTAACGCCTCTGGTGTTTCGGGTGTCCATGGGCGACGCCGATTGCTTACTTGCAGGTTATTCGTCTGCTCGTTTACCGGCTTATGTCATAAAAAAACCGATTTCACGGGAAGGAGCAATAACCAAACATACATACATTTATAATATTAGTAGAATAACATCAACCCTTCCTAAGTTACCCAAAACCTACCTCTTCAATTCTTAACATCGCATAACATATTACATTATGCATAAAAACATCACTACTTATTTTAATACCTCTCACTATACATCAAAGACTACCTACCTCACCTTTGGGGACACGTCGTCAAGATCGTGACGTCACGTCTATGAATTCCATATCTTTTCGCGTTTCTTTTAAAAAGGTAAAGAAGGGAAGTGGGTCACGATGACACTCTCATGCAAACTGCTGCTGTTTAACTTTTTTATGCTATGCGACACGATATCGGGGTCGGACACCAATAGTTGATAACCGACTAAGTAATGCGGATTGCTTTTCATGTATGCATGATAATCATTGGACATAATATAATGTTTAACTGCAAACTATTAAAACGTAGGGCTCGTCGTCGGCACGTCGCATCGCAAAAATGTGCGAGCTCTCTCTACACATCGCAAGAACTTGCGAAGTTGTTATGCAATAGTTTGACGCTAATATATTATTCTGATAGTAAACAAAGCATAAATAACATAAACTGTATCTTATTTATTTCTTCAATGGTACACCAATAGTAACACATATTTTACACATACACAAAACATCAAGCCTTTTAACACCGAAGGGGTAGGCAGAGGTGTACGGTCAAAGGTCAAAAGTCCACTGCCACCGTAAGACTACTATCGGTTGCGCTGCTGCGCTTATACACATACATACATATTATAAATATATGCGTCCGCATGTGTACACGCATATTTTCATTACATTCCACAGACGTCCGATAGCAACCATTTACCTATCAATGTCGGATTTGTTACCTAATATCGGATCAGACAATTAGATTAACAGATATAATAGATACTTCTTATATATTACTTGCCCCGACTTCGTATTAAATGCCCGATACCCCGATACTGATATCGGATCGGATGGAGTAAACACGTTCATATAGTTATACGAGGTCACTATGTTACATACCTATATCCTGTATGTGTATTTGGATGGTAGATAATAACTTAATATCATGGTTTTATAATAACTATCGTGAGACATAATAAATTAACTAAAAACCGCGGGTTTCTCACGTGAATATACTGAGAAAAGCTCTACTAGTTTCGAACCACAGAGGGGTTCTTCCTCATGAGCAGCGTGCGCGGTCGCGGCGATGTAAGCAAATCTACAGATAGATAGGATATAGAAAATGTAAGTCCACAAAATCCTATAAAAAGAAAGTGTGGGAGAGCCATGCTTCGCCATGAATGGGCCGGCTCGACCTCGATACTACGACCTCACAGAAGACTGACGTGAAACAACGTTGTGTTGTGTTTCGTCGTGTGAGTGAGGTTACCGGATGCCCAATTACCCCCCCCCCCTCCTCCCTTTCCCCAATCCCTGAATCCCCAACAAGCTAATAATTCCAAAAGGCCGGCAACGCACTTGTAACGCCTCTGATGTTCCAGGTGTCCATCGGCGACGCCGATTGCTTACCATCAGGTGATCCGTATCCTCGTTTACTGGCATATCCCATAAAAAAAAAATTGACAACATCCAAAGAAATCAACAACGGTTTATAATACAAAAAGAACTATTAAAAAAGTCACAAAATAAACCATAAACAAGTGGCCTTTAAAAATATCGTTCTAAAACTAGACCAAAACAATACTTATAGATATTATACAACAGTTTACGCTAAGCCAACCAAATAACAGATTCCCTTGGGAATTTGCGGGGAATACACTAAATACATTTTAGCTCAGGCATTGGCGATACACTCCACGGTTCATTTAGCTCGTTTTAATGAATACCGAATACTGAATCGACTAAAAGCCTTGTTCGCTTATGCATTGAAATTATTATCGATACATTTGAATTTTGTTTTCGAGTTAAATTGGTTATATTTCTGCCTGCGGCTCCACCTGTAGTTGGAAGAAAAATTATGTGCTGTTCCAGACAATCATCTATCTCAATTTCATTTTTCTCTTTGTTTGTTTGTTTGTGTGAAATTTAAAAAAATGTATTTATTTATTTCGCACTTCGGAAACCAACAGCTATTGCAGCTACAATTTGATTAAAAAGAATTTAACATGGTAACTAAAACTCGCGGGTTACTCACGTGAATATACTGAGAAAAGCTCTACTAGTTTCGAACCACAGAGGGGTTCTTCCTCATGAGCAGCGTGCGCGATCGGGGTGATGTCGCGTAGCCTACTCGCCGCCGCCTATATTCACGTGAGTAACCCGCGAGTTTTAGTTATTACTATAAAAACAATTTAACATGTAACAAAAAGCCAATTACTGGTTTTGACAATTAGCAAGTGAGAATAGAAAAATTGGACTCCCATCTCACTTGCTTCCCGATGACATATCTTAATGACCATAGGTACATTATAAGCCCCATAAGCCCATTAAAACCGTTTTACATAAAACAATATTTTTTTATGTATGGATACTTTTTCCAACCTAGACTTAAAATTATTCGCAGCGATAAACAAAACTTTACAGATGACCCTCTAAACTGCCTCGTTGGCCGAATGGTCGCAAGTGCGACTGCCGGGCAAGGGGTCTTGGGTTCAATTCCTGGGTCGAGCAAAGTATTATTGGGGTTTTAAAAAAATCTCATTAGTAGCACGGAGTTTGGAAATGCTATCGGTATATGGCAATAGACTCACGCCCTATTATATGAAACTAACATAAGTAGTGGAAAATTGGTGTTACATTGTACAGTGGCATTAAGTGTTGTAATGTGCACCCCTACCTACCCCTTCAGGGATAAAAGGCGTGATGTTATTTTATGACCCTCTAAATATTAAGGACATTTCTGCCCACTCCTCATGGTACAACAAACGTGATATAGTTGTCTTCTGCCTCTGAAATGCCTTTTCACTTAAATTAAACTAAAACATCCATTTTGATTAGCAAACCAAGACTCCCTAAATGGTAATTCGTCCCTTTTAACCCATCTGCTACTTCAAACCCAAAGCCACATTCAAAAGCATTATGGAATTACAAATCGTATTCTAAACTAGTGGTCTAACCTGGCTTTACACTAGTTTTAACCTCTAAGGCTTTTTTTTTAAGGGGGGAAAATCATCGAATGACTGCTCTCGCCTGGGTGAGGCGAGAGGGAGTGTCAGACTCTTACTGATTAAAAACCACCCCGTTGGTTGGTGGGTGATCGCAATGCGAGAGCCGGCCTGGAACTTAACTGATTATTTAACCGCTCGTCTTGCGATAATTCAACGACAAGTTTGCGGGAGATTATGGCAACCGCGGCGGCTCCGGGACCGCAGGAATCTGCGGTCTTGTGAGTTTTGAAAATACCGCCTCCTTCCGCTACCGTGGAATGGAGCCTAAGTCCGTGTGTTTTTTTCTTTTACCACTTTTGACGAAGTTGTGGACAAAAGAAGTCTAGTAGTTTGATGATTTCCAAATAACTCTTAACATATTTGTTATACCTAACTTAAAATAAAAATTCGTTGAAGTCATAATTTTATTATAATCGAAATCAAAAACTATTTGTAAAAACCTCTAGTTGATCCAAAAAGTTTTCATGTCTCCTAAAATAAAAACTAAATTCAAATATTTGAAAACTGACGGGTACAGTTTGGAACATCGCATTTGTTTTAAGTCCGTCTGTCTAGTAGGTCGCGTAAGCAAATAATAAGCGGTCGGTGTGCATTGAAACTGTTGTGTTTAAGTTTTAATAGTAAATATGAGGGAAATAGTTCATATACAGGCTGGCCAATGTGGCAATCAAATTGGTGCTAAGGTAAGATATCTATTCACCACTTCACATACCTAGTAATAGCGTAGTAGTTGCCCTACATAGTCCTCATTGAATGTCACATGATTGATATCTACATATCGGACATTCCTCAATATGTAGTTCTCCATAACGTGTACTTATATCATCTAAGTAATTTGTCTTGTAATCCAGAGTAACGTACACACAAGACGAATGTAGCACTATTATTATCCTCAAGCTTCGAAATTACTAGATTCAGCTCCTAAATTAGTCAATTAAAACGTCAGCAATGCCGTAGTTAAGCTGCGGTGTACTTGACACTGACATCTATCATCTGTTTCAGTTCTGGGAGGTAATTTCCGACGAGCATGGTATTGATCCCACTGGAACGTACCACGGAGACTCCGATCTGCAACTGGAGCGCATCAATGTATACTACAATGAAGCAACAGGCGGCAAATACGTGCCAAGAGCGATCCTCGTCGATCTTGAACCTGGAACTATGGATTCCGTACGCTCAGGCCCCTTCGGACAAATCTTCCGACCTGACAACTTCGTCTTCGGGCAGTCGGGCGCCGGCAACAACTGGGCTAAAGGCCATTACACAGAAGGTGCAGAACTAGTAGACTCTGTCCTTGATGTGGTCAGAAAGGAGGCGGAAGGATGCGACTGTCTTCAAGGCTTTCAGTTGACACACTCTCTCGGAGGTGGCACAGGAGCCGGCTTGGGAACACTTCTCATCTCAAAGATTCGAGAGGAGTATCCCGATCGTATTATGAATACTTTTAGTGTGGTACCCTCGCCCAAAGTATCCGACACTGTAGTCGAACCCTACAATGCCACCTTGTCTGTGCATCAGCTAGTAGAAAACACTGATGAATCTTATTGCATTGACAACGAGGCACTTTACGATATTTGTTTCCGTACTCTGAAGTTGACCACACCGACCTATGGGGATTTGAATCATCTGGTATCAGCGACAATGTCGGGCGTCACCACTTGTCTTAGGTTCCCTGGTCAACTGAACGCTGATCTGAGGAAACTCGCTGTAAACATGGTTCCATTCCCTCGTCTGCACTTTTTCATCCCTGGGTTTGCGCCATTGACGTCTAGAGGAAGCCAGCAGTACCGAGCTCTGACCGTGCCGGAGTTGACACAACAGATGTTTGATGCTAAGAATATGATGGCTGCGTGTGACCCTCGCCACGGAAGATATTTAACTGTCGCAGCTGTGTTCAGAGGTCGTATGTCAATGAAAGAGGTAGATGAGCAGATGATGAACATTCAGAACAAGAATTCTTCGTACTTCGTGGAGTGGATTCCTAATAACGTGAAGACTGCAGTGTGCGACATCCCACCCCGAGGTTTGAAAATGTCTGCGACATTCATTGGTAACTCAACAGCTATCCAGGAGTTGTTCAAGCGTATTTCTGAACAGTTCACTGCGATGTTTAGACGTAAGGCGTTCTTGCATTGGTATACTGGTGAGGGGATGGATGAGATGGAGTTCACGGAGGCTGAGAGTAACATGAATGACTTGGTGTCTGAATATCAGCAGTACCAGGATGCCACCGCTGAGGAGGAGGGTGAATTTGATGAAGAAGAGGAAGGTGGTGATGAAGGAGACTAGACTACTTTTGTGTCCTTTTGTTAAGACTTCCATTATATTTTGTATTTTGTATTTATCGTTTTATTGAATGAATACAATTCATGATGGTTACGTTTTCTCTGAACGTCACACTAGCATTCAATTGTCCAAACCAAAACGCAGCGAGTATATTGAATAGCTGATTGATATTATTCACATGTCATTATGTAGTATTCCAAAGAGATGAGCAATCGATAAAACCTATTTGTTTACACCAGATATACCCAAGTAACATTGACACATGTCAACCAATAACAGCGCCTCATCAGCTCTGGACGTTTCTAGGTAACGCTTTCAATATCGGATTGATAATGGTGATCAAACAAAAATAAAAATTCCATCTTATAATATTTTGAACTCGTTATTCGTTTTTTACATGGGGCTCATAACATAAATAGTGAAAAGTGGGTGTTACATTGTACAGTGGTATAATGTGCACCTCTGACTACCCCTTCGAGGATAGAAGGCGTGATGTTATGTTATGTTATCGTTATTCGTTGCGACACGGCGACTGTCACGCTGTTACTAATTATTCGATTTCCTAATTAATTTAGTATGTCTCATAAAAGTTTTTATTTTGTGAAGCCATAAACTCACCCCCTACTATATGGGACTTGCATGGGAATGGGAATGTTATGAGACATAACATAACACAACATAACATCACGCCTTTCTTCCCCGAAGGGGTAGGCAGAGGTGCACATTATGCCACTTAATGCCACTGTACCATGTAAAACCCACTTTCCACTATTTATGTTATGAGTCCCATGTAAGGTGAGCCTATTACCATATACCGGGCACAGTTCCAGGCTCCGTGCTACCACTGAGAATTTTTAAAAACCCAGTAATACTTTGCCCGACCCAGGAATCGACCCCGAGACCCCTTGCCCGGTAGTCGCTCTTGCGATCACTCGGCCAACGAGGCAGACATTACCACTAAAAAGTATATCTTACACTAGAATACAGCAAAAAGACCTATAACCCGCTTATAACCCACTATCCCACTCCACCTAAATATTGAGCGCTCCGAGTCTGTTCACAAATAGCCGAGCTAAATAATTCATTGGTCGTCTACACGTTGCTAGGAATAAAGTAGAGTATTTTGAGAGCTAACGTATAAGCTCAAATAGAAGAGTACTTGGATTTATGTGAGAAGACGTGATAATATTTGCCTGTAGTTGGATACTGGGGTATTTTTGATGTAAGGAGCGGATTTTAAAGGTTATATTTCGTCTTTTTATTCGCCGTAGACGACTAAGGAAATAGCTTTTGTTCAGTAGTCTTTAGAGTGATGATGGAAATCATGATTCTCTTGTAGATGTAAAGTGAAGAATAAAAGAAAATTCGAAATTATACGATTATATTAGTCATGGAATAAAATATAATACATGGAAACTTAACATATTGAGGTTAGTTAAAAAAGGACAATGATCATCATAACATCACGCCTTTTATCCCCGAAGGAGTAGGCAGAAATGCACATTACGGCACTTAATGCCACTGTACAATGTAACACTCACTTTTCACTATTTATGTTATGAGTCCCATGTAATAGGGGGTGAGCCTATTGCCATTTACCTGGCACAATTCCAGACTCCGTACTACTACTGAGATTTTTTTAAAACCCAGTAATACTTTGCCCGTCTCGGGAATCGAACCCGAGACCCCTTGCCCGGCAGTCGCACTTGCGACCACTCGGCCAACGAGGCAGTCTCGAGGCTAGTCTTTGGTGCAATCCCCAAATCGGATATTTAGGAAATACTGTCAACAAAAGGTCAGTAACCCTTTTAAAAATAACTTACAATAAGTGACTGGATGTGGGCATCTCCCTACGGAATAAAATGTTCTAAGTAAAAAAGAACGTTATCCAAAAAAAGTATATTAAACAAAAATCAAACTTATACAACTGGACATTAATTCGTAAATCGACTGTGTAACCTTCAATAAAATGTTGAATATCAGAATTATTGACTTCGACCAAAGTTTTTACGTTTGACAGTTTGAGCTCTTAGGGGCTTCATCTCAAAGTATATTTATTTACTTTATTCACTCTCACATTTCATACTTTTATTTTACTTTGCAATCAATATTACACAAAGTTTTGTGAGTAATCTTTATACGTGTGTTTTGTAAATCCCAATATTGATTTACTTTGATCAAAGACATTACTGATGACTGCCTCATTGACCGAGTGGCTGTAAGTGCGACTGCCGGACAAGGGGTCTCGGGTTCGATTCCCGGGCCGGGCAAAGTATTACTGGGGTTTTAAATACTCTCAGTAGTAGCATTGAGTCTGGAATTGTGCCCGGTATATGGCAATAGGCTCACCCCCTATTACATGGGACTCATAACATAAATAAATAGTGAAAAGTGGGTGTAACATTGTACAGAGGTATTAAGTGCTGAAATGTGCCTACCCCTTCGGGGATAAAAAACGTGATGATGTTATGTAAAGACATAATTATTTCGTTTAAGTCGATGTTCGGAAAGATCGCATTTCAAATCGTCTTTAATGTTTTCTTTGTTTAGTTTACGAAGCAATATAAATTTTAAATCTGTAGGTGATTCTATGCTTAGCTCTTTAGAGGACAAAAAAAAATCTATGTCAAATGATATCATTTGACATAGATTTTTTTTGACATAGATTTGACATTTGACATAGATATGTGGTGTGAATGCTCCAAATGCACTGAGTTGACGTATATTTATTAGGGACGACCCCTATAAATGAAGTCCAAAATCTCCAACTCAATAGTCAACTAGCGAAACATCTCAACTAAAACATTTAAATCCAAATTCAGATTTCATATTGAATGCACTTTATATTTTAGTATCACGAACCGACGATAGATGTCGCCACCAGCAGCCACAGATGCCGCAACGAGACAGGATATTAAAACATTAATATGACTCGAAATATGTGTTTATTTTTAGTCTGTGGATTCAAAATGGCGGTGTTATCTCTGGATCTGCACTATTCTGTTGTGCTCATATCGTATCTGTCTTGTAGAATATTTATGTAAGCGACTGTGAATCATGAGGTATCTGATTTGATTCCTAAGTTGTATAAAAGAAATGCTTGTATTCTTCTATAATAAGCTAGTGACAGCCCCAAAATTTGCAACGCCTGAAAAAGGCCGTTAAGCTGTGCGTGTTATTTCTTAAGACCTGTATGTATTACCTTAACATGCAAATAAAGAGTTTCAGTTTGAGTTTCTAAGTACCTACACTTAGTTGGACTTTTCATCACATTGTGAAATAATGCTGAAAATATCTAAGTAGTAAAGTTATTGATGAATGTACGGGAGTGGTAGAACCAAAAGAGGTTTTGTGTTTTTGAGCCCCACTGTATCTACCCTACCCAAACGAGAGACATACGTGACAATAGTATTGCGTAAGTTTTAAAATATGCTGTGTTTTACTTTACCATATTAACTCACATAACATAACATCACGCCTTATATCCCCGAACTGCCCCGAAGGGGTAGGCAGACGTGCACACAGAAGTAACACCCACTTTTCAGTAATGGAATGTAATTGGGGGCGAGCCTATTGCCATATACCGGGCACAATTCCAGACTCCGTGCTACTATTGAGATGTTTTTTAAAAACCCAGTAATACAATGCCCGACCCGGGAATCGAACGCGAGACCCCTTGCCCAATAGTCGCACTTGCGACCACATGGCCAACGAGGCAGTCTACGCTATCGCCATATTAACTCATCTCACAATATTTCTATTTACCAGAACATACACTAACACATACAATAAAAATTCAACTAAATAACAAGTACTAAACACACCTAATAAAAATCCAACTATTATACCAATACGAAATAACACTTAAAACCAAAAATCTTCCCAATAAACCAACAAACATATACGATTTCAAACAAGAACACAAAACAACACCTTTATCCAATCTAACCAATCAAAAAATGAACAAATATTCCACAGCCAATAAAAACGGATAGAAGTACGAAAATCGTGTATTCCTAGCAACATTTAGACCAGTCAGAATAGTTTAAAAGTGCATCTATTCGACGATCGATAACGAATCTCTGTAGCTTGGATATTTTGGTATCTCGGCCGCGTAAATAGAAACTGCTGCGAGTACGACACGGGGGCGCGACGCGACGTGGCTCGATTTAGTATGAAATTAATAATGCAATTACGTTGCGATATTTCTGTCTTAATCTAAAGTTAATCTGCTATTACAGGATATGGGTTGGGAATTTATGATGAGTTGTTGTGTTTTGGGAAATAAGTACTTATTGCATCAGTATCTATTTTTGTCTTTTCTATCTTTCTTTTTCTTCGGTTGATGCTGTGGCAAACGGCTGCCGTGCAACGTGTCGCGGGATCTTCCACGAAACAACTTTATGTGTGATCCACAAATTGTCATTTCGGGTCTGGATGTCATATGTATGTGGACTTGTATGTTTGCAAACGCGCCCACGCTACAGAAGAAAATCCTAGAAGTTTAAAAAAGATGGTAATATTTCTATAACCCCAAACGAAAACAAATTCTATCGTTGGTAATAAATGATGAAGTCTATGTTCTTTGACATAGAACACATGTATAAAGACGTAGTTTTAGTAAACTTAAGCTTAGTTTCTTTAGTTTAAAGTAGTGATCTCTAGAGGTACAATTATTGCAATGAGCTACTCATACAGCAATTTCAAAGAAGCGCATTGCGCAACTATGCTACTTCAACCCTACGCTATCTCAACCGGTTACTTAAAAAGCGCTGAATCGGCATTACTAAATACGCGTCCTGGATATATTCCCTCGCTTCTCCGATTGCTCCAATTACGATGTTTTCCAACAGTTTTAGATTTGAATTATAGTTCTTTCAAAGACAATTTTAGTCTTCTATTTTAAACCTTATACTGTAGTTGTGAAAGTAGATAATTGGATAAGTGGTCAATGATGTTAGGTTTGTGGTTTAATGGGGGTATCTTAGGCTGTAATTAAATTGCGTTGAGTGGTAGAAATAAGTGTTGTTACGAAAATTGTTTGACCATTTTTTATCAATGTTTGGATAGAAATTGTATGTATTTTTAACGTTTTTAGTTGATATTTCTTTAGATTGGTTGAAAAATAATTACGTTAACTATTGATGTTGCTCAAAATACAATCTCCGTGGTCTATATCTTGGTATGGATCGCAATGTCTAATAATGACTCCACGGTTGGCGCGGTGGGCAACTGGCTGCCATGCAAAGTGTCGCGATCTCGATGCCCGCACGGAACAACTCTTTGTGTGATCCATAGATTGTTGTTTCGGGTCTGGGTGTGATGTGTATGTGAACTTGTATGTTTGTAAACGCACCCACGACACAAGAGAAAGTCCTAGTGTGGGGCAAGGTTTTTAAAGAAAAAACTCATGATCAGAAAGTATATTAAAATCCAGGTTTAATATCGAAAAAGACATTGAATCATGTGAATACCTACACCAAATCCTTTCAAATAATATTACGTCTGTTTTTTCACTCAGTTCCAGGTTCTAAAACACACTTTTTCTTTCTCAGGGCCCGGTCTAAAGGGCACGATGGCGATCCTGAACTGCCTGTTGGCGAGGCAGCTCTGCTTCGAAGACGCCTCCTGTTCCGCCATATTGGAGATCATCCCGCGTGTCTGTGGATCTGAACTTGGTAAGTTATGACACTTATTGCTATCTTTTTCTAACTATGTGACCATGGTCCTCGGTCAACGACTGTTGCTACAAGAAAATGGTTAAAAAATTCAGTGGCACAGCAAAGGCGGTGTGTCTAATATGGGTGAGCAATATTCAGCATGAATCGACACATTCCTTGGACCTGACGGACACCACTGCTGTATTTGTGAAGTCACAGGAAACCGTTATGTGTCACCGTGTGATGGCCAGCAACGCCCTTGTATTTCAGCGATGGTGCGGTGGTCCATGAACAGCTCTCATAACTTACCATCAGATGCTCCATACCCCGTAAAAAGACTTAAAACTACCTCCCCGAGTTACAAAAGTCTCTTTCCAGAACCAGTGTCCAACTTTGAACTACAACTATGAACTGTACGCAGTCTCAGATAAAGCTATAATATAATACTCCTATTCATATTCACGTACATAACAAATAATAAATAATATTTACAACCTCGCCTTAAAACCGCACTTTTTCTAAGGCTTGTAGAAAGATTGGGATCTTTTGTTAAAGAGCTCACATTATGTATAAGAACATACACGGTACATACAGCGTCATGCTTTCAACAGATGAAGGGATGACTCGCACACCGAAGCGTAACAAGATTAGTCAGTTTTACCACATAATATCATCATATATTTTACTCCCGGTACAATATAAGCCCTTATAATTGATCGTCTTTTTTTAAGGGAGGAAAATCATCAAATGACTTCTCCCACCTGGGTCAGGCGGGAGGTAGTGTCAGACTCTTACTGACTAAAAACCACCCCGTTCCTACTCCTATACTTCGAGCCGCAGCCCCGGTAACCCGTTAAGTTTTCCGCGACTCCGTATCGTCATCAGCCCTATTGGGCCCCATCTGTAGTGGTCTGATGGCTCTTTGAGGCGCGCGGAATGCGATACGCCGTACGCTCGGGTCTGGTTCTGGTCGGGCGGCGAGCTATCCATGCTTGCCGTCCACAGGCCCGTACTTATGGTATAATTGAACGTCTAGCATTTGGGTTAATTTGGAAAGATCAATGTAACAAGAAAAAATTTATAACCATATTCAGACATCATTCCTAAGTCTCTTTGCTAATTTGTATTAAGATTTCGAAAAATGTTCATGTATCGCTTAGTTATAACCTCTTTTTTACTGTCTGTGATCGAACCGGAAATCTTTAACTTGATATGAAACCAAACATACATAACCTCACGTCTGTTTCCAATGGGGACAGGTAGAGACTACGATTTTTACATACCTCTTTCACTTCATCAGTTTTTTCATGCATGCTCGTCGGTTGACAGTACTTTTAAATTGGCCTTTCTTTAATATATCGCAAATCTGGTCCATAAATGTCCGTCTAAGGCGACAAAATATATAAACCCACTTTATCTGTATTGCATATAACATAATTAATGAAAGAGACGGTAAAAGAAGCAATCGGTACCTAAACATGAAGGTAGGTACTAAGGTTCACAAAAAAGTTTATTAAATTAAACAAGCAGGTACGGTGTAACAAATACCCCAGTATTTTGACCTTTCACCACAGTCACTCTAGGGAGGAGAGAATAAAATATCAGAGAGGTTTGCTAAGTGATGCGTCATCAAATAATCAACAGGATGACAAATGGATGGGTACCAGACCCACTTAGCATACACATACAAAATGTAAGGAAACAGTCGAAACACACGTACCTAATGTTTACAACGTGCTAATGTGTTGTGTACTTTAATTTGTATGTACTTCTGTATTCTAGGGTCTAAAATATATGTAACACAGTTCATAAACCCTATAAAGTGCTCCTGGGTCTTTGTACTAGAAGTTGAGGTTCATCTTTTTGGTTTTATAGAGAACAAGCGCTTTGCATCCAGCTCCCTTGTGCGTGCTGCTAAGGAGTGGAATTCTTCGCCAGTCTTTGTTTTCAGACGGGTATTCTGGGTGTTTTCAAAGCCCGAGTGAATAGATTGCTTATGGGCAGATGTGCTCCATCGTAGACCGCATCATCGCTAACCACCAGGCGAGATACTGGTCAAACGTCGCCCCATCAAATATAACAAAAGAGTTATGCTTATAGTTCAAACAAAAACGTTGATGTTGGCATTTTTGTGTTTATTTTAGATTTTTATGAATAGACTGCCTCGTTGGCCGAGTGGTCGCAAGTGCTACTGCCGGGCAAAGGGTCTCATCATAGTAGTAGCTAGGAGTCTGGAATTGTGCCTGGTATGTGGCAATAGGCTCACCCCCTATTACATGGAACTCATAAGATAAGTAGTAAGTGTTATATTGTGCAGTAGCATTAAGCGCCGAAATGTGCACCTCTGCCTAACCCTTCGGGGATAAAAGGCGTGATATTATGTTATGTAGTAATAATTCCAATATCTGTACTATTACCTAGAATTTAAAATTCAAAAATCTAATATTCAATTAGTTATTTATAATAAGTAGTCGGACAATATGTAATGAATTATTCAAACATAACCACCATTCGTTATAAATTCTATATTACCTAGTGTACGAGCGCCTGATGGATATACCATAGCAACGATGTGTGCTTAGTATAATGTTAGCAATTAAGTATTTGTATTATTTTATTTTGTATGTACCGACGCTAATCTCATCACTTGCTGTGCTGTACTCGCTGAGTTAACACCTCATTAAATTCCTACTTGCTGAGTATTCTTTTGAGTCTTTTCCTGCGAAGCCCTCGCCAATACATGGTCCATTACGATCCGGATACATTATATACAGAAGATCAGCGCATATAAATAGAGGATATTGGATATAAAGCAATAAGGAACCAGCGTGACATCGCAATTTTGGATTGGACTAAACTCAAGCAATGATTTAGCGGTGTAAAGCATTTAATTTAAATAATATCGTCACCCAACACTCAGGTAGTATAAGATAAGGTCGTCGTCTTGAATAAAAGGCCAGTATCATTTTTTATAATTTTATCTACCATAGTATTGTGTTCGTGCAATTTGCAGTCATTAGTCATTAGGTACTTGTTACTTGTGATTAGCATTTTTCACAGTTTAATTAAGTTGAAATTCATACTTAATATAGTATAGTTAGCCTTGCTACATTATTTTGCTTAATTTCCATAAAGCTGTAGCTAATTCACATTTTTAGAGGACTTGTTAATTGTCACGAGTAGGTAGCTTACCCGCAATACATTTCATTCGAGTGTAGATATTATTGCAAGTCATTGTTAAAATTAATAAAGTTATTAGTATTCAAAAGGATTATTATCAGTTGTACATGTATTAAATAATAATTAATGCTTAAAATTTGGCTTTTCTATAGCAAATCAGTTTTATTTTACAACCTTAGAATTGTAGGTACTTGTACAATTAAAAAATAAAATTACATTGTCTTTGTTAACAATTGGATTTCTGGTTTATATACTGGTTTTCTTGCAATATCATTAATATTATTAATTGCAAAGGTTGTTAATTAGTGTATAAAACAGTTAGGTGTATATGTAAATTGTATTGTTCATTATTACAAGTAGATCTGTATCAGTTTCAGGTTGACTACACTCTCGTCTTCCAGTATGTCCGAGGAAAGGGATTTAATCAAAAAGCGAGGAAGCTTCAAAGGCCGTTTAACTGCTTTCGTCAACTTCCTGGACTCACTTAAGGACAAACCGTTAACTAGTTATGATGCTTCTGAACTGCAATTGCGCATGGGCAAGATCGAGTCGTTGTATGAACAATATGATGAGGTACAGTTGCGTCTGGAATGCATGGCCGACGATATAAAATTACAAATTTCTGAGCGTTCTGATTTCGAGTCTCTTTATTATAAATCCCTGTCTAGAGCCCAAAATATTTTGATAGACTTTAATAAAGATAATAAATCGATGGAAAGCTGTAACAGTACACCTGGTAGCATGCACAAACCAGTCAAATTGCCTACGATCCAATTGCCTAAGTTTAGCGGTTTATATTCTAATTGGTTAGAATTTCGTGACACCTTTGCTAGTCTCATTCATACTAATGATGACATCGACGACATCAACAAATTTCACTACCTGAGAGCATCTCTCGAAGGTACTGCTGCGATAGTAATTAAATCTGTTGAGTTTTCGTCGAGCAACTACTCTGTGGCATGGAAGTTGTTACGCGATCGATTTGACAACAAAAGATTACTGGTACAAAATCATGTATCTGCCCTGTTTAATATTGAGTCGCTCTCAAAGGAATCTTCTGTTGCATTAAAGAGTTTAATCGATCAGCTGAATAAGGATTTACGAGCTTTAGAATCTTTAGGGGAGCCAGTAAAGCAGTGGGACACGCTGCTCATTTACATTGTAACTCGTAAGCTTGATCAAAAGACGTATCGTGAGTGGGAAGAGTGTAAAGGTAGGTTAGACAAAACCAGCCCGATTACATTTGAAGTGTTTATGCAATTCTTACGTAGTCGAGCCGATCTAATCGAGACATTAGAAATATCTCACACAAATAATTCCCAAACGATAGTTAAAACAGGTCCTAAAATTAAGTCTATGGTAGCTACACAGTCTCCTACTAGTTCTATCATTGAATTAACCTCTAAAGTATGTCCTAAATGTAACAACACTGATCACACGCTAAATACTTGTCCACAGTTTCTCGCTTTAACAAATGATGCTCGACTTAAATTACTACCCAATTATAAAATTTGTTACAATTGTTTTCGCTCGGGTCACTACGCTAACAAATGCAAGAAGCCAGGTTGTAAATTATGCAAACGTAGGCATAACACACTGATTCACACAGATTTTAAAGGCACTATTTCGGGTACACTTAATGATAATAACACTGCTAATAACTTGTCTACCTCGTCTTCGTTACCGTCTGCTCCCACTGAGACAAATAACATCGCGTTATCAGCACATATTGCATCCTCTAGTGGTCATATGCAGCGAGACGTGTTGTTATCAACCGCTCTGGTCAAGGTGCGCGACCGCAATAATTGTGTGCATCTCGTTCGCGCAGTCCTCGATAG